ATGCCTCTCCGGGGGTGCACACAGCAACAGGAGCACCCCCCCCCCCAGGAAAGGCCTAGGCTGCCCCAGGAAGGGCCTGGGCAATGGGAGGGGCCATGTCCTTTCGTGCTGCTCCTGCTGGGGGGACAGGGTGGGCCAGCCCGAGGGGAGAAACCCCTCGGGAAAAGCAGGCTGCCCGCTGCACTCTGTGCTCCACTGCCATTCCCTCCAGAGCTGCATGCAACACCATGTGCCTCCTACCACCGGGCAGGCAGGGAACGCGGCACAGTCTCCGCACAGAGGGCACATGGCATTGTGCGTGGCTCCCGAGACAACGGCAGTGGGGCACAAAGCCACAGCCTGCAGTGGGTAGCCCAACTCTGCTCCATGCACAAATCCAGGGGGCACATGCCCCCCATGCCTTCCCAGGGGTGCATGCAACAGCTGGGAGCTGCAGCACCCCCAGCACTCCAGGACAAGCCTCCCATGGCTCTGTCCCACAACTCACTGTGGCCCTGGGGCCCCATTCACTCCAGCCCTGTCCCATTCCTTCCCTCAGCATGGGAGCCTCGATCTTCCCCAGCACCTCTTCCCTTTCCCCCCACCCCACCCGCTCCACAAACTTACCTGCTGGGTGCTGTATATCTGCGTGTCTATCCGTCACTCCCAACTACAGCCTCCCCAGCCCTGCTGCTGCCCCTCACTCCTGACCCACAGTACCCCACATCCTGCCACGGCATGTGGGGACCCCCCTCCAGGCACCAAACCCCACACCCACAGCCCCCCACACCTTCACAAATTCACCCCCACACCAACCCCATCTCCACCCCCCAACCATACAAAGTACCTGAATAATTTTGTGTTTTTAGCTGTGTGATTAAATCGCCATTAGTTGTGACATTTTTTTTTTTAATTGTGCTACTAACTGCAATATTTTTCATTTTATTTTAATTGTTTTATATGGTTACCGTAACTGATGAAACAATGTTTTATGATTACTAAAGGTTTTGATGTTATTTTAATGCATAGCCTGTCACTTATGTGTATGAAAAATTTGCTGGTGGTACTTAAGGCTGTATGGTTTTAAATTGGTGGTAGGTAATCTGTCAGAGCTTGGAAACCACTGTCCTACACCTTAAATGCTAGAGGCTGCAAGTGAGAAAGAAACAATGGAAAAATACCCTGGTCGTGTCATCCACTCTGTTTCAGCATCCACTCTGCCACTGTGAGACATGACATACTGGACTAGATGGACAGTACAGGGCCTTGCTGCAGTGTTTGCCTCTCTGCCATGCTCGGTCATGCCACAATAGAGAACCCTGTTCAGTTTCTGATCTCTCCACTCCCTGTGCCAGGCAGGCCACGCACGGTGGAAAGGTGGGCAGGAAACATGATGAGTCTCAAAGAAGGGGAAGGAAGTGCTTCATGGCTGCTACCTAAGCAGCAAAGCCTGATGCACTTTTACTACTGCTGGAATCAAGGAGGAAGATGCCCATGCTGTGGAGCCTTGTTGCTACAGAGACTGAACCCAAAATCTGGGAAACGCATCAACAGATTTTCTAAAGATTTATGGAAACAAGCCCGCCAGGCATCTGCTTCCATGAAGGGTGCTTTGTATCGGAGGCCAGGAACTGGAAGCAATGCTGAGTGATGCCCAGCCAAGAGGGAACCAGCTGCCACCTCTGAAAGCAGAGCACTCAAGGAGGCTGCCCAAGGTTCTTTAGACTGACAACACTGGACACAACCATCTGCTGCTGGCCCAGCTTAATGCCTTCAGGAAAGTCAATCTCAAGATCATCCTTCTCAGAAAGCAACAACTCCCAGGCACATGCAGCTGACTTGGAAGAGTGACAAAAGCCTTCAGGGAAAGAACACTGAGGGCCCTGCCCAATCCCACTGCATGAATCATGGAGATTCCTGTAACAATTGCAGAGATGTGGTTTGAGGCAAGTGCCTTGAATACTGCACAGAGCTATGATACAGGCCACAGTAGACCTGAAAACTAATCATACCCAGAGACTGCAAAAGATTTATTGTAGGCCAAGCCTGTACAGAAAATGAGGCTGTCACAAAGTCCTACTATATGTAGTCTCCCATGGCAGGAATAGCTCTGTGTTCTTATGGCAAAACATTACTTAGATATTTAAATTCAGTAAGTTTGCAAACTGTGTTCACTCCAGTCTAGATACACAGTTTTGGGAGAAGCATCATTCAAATGATGCATTCAGAAACTGGAGTAAAAAAAAGATACAAGCTATACATTTCTACCCAAAATACTGCTTGGAACTCTGAACTAGCCTCAATGGTTCCATCTGCTTTAGCAAGCAAACAGCTCCTCAGAATGCATCCACGACAACAGCAAAGCTCAGACAATTTGATTTTTTAACTCCTGAGCTCCCCTGTTCCCACCTTGTTTGCCATACGCATCTATGATCATGTCAGTCAAACTCTCCCTTAAGGAAGTTTTTTTTTTTTTTAAAAGGCTTTAAAAGGAAATTGACAAAAATATACAATCACATACACTTATTTGCGTTAGGTGTATAAAGACCCCACTGAAGCCTTTGCCCCCAAACATCGATAGCATAGGAGAAAAACAGGCCTAGAAGGAATTGCAGGAAGTCACCTAATCCAATCCCCTGCTCAGGAAAGAATCAGCCCTGTGTAAATTATTCCTGCCAAATGCTTGGCAAATCTGCAATTAAAAACTTGTAAAGAAGGAGGCTCCACAACAACTTGAGGCAATGTGTTCCCATCAGAAGATTCTTCCTAATATCCAACCTAAATTTCTCTTGCTGCAATTTAGGACCAGTATTTCTTGCCTTTTCCTCTACAGCCATAAAGAAGTCTCTCTGTGTCCTCTTTTTAACCACCCGTCAGGTATCTGAAGACTTAACAACATCCCCCACTCCCCAGGTCTTCTCTTCTCCAGATTAAACAGCCACAGTTCTTCCAAACTTTTCTCATAAGTCACGCTGCCCAGACCTATTCTCTTTTGTTCATCTACGCTGGATTCTCTCTCATTTATTTATTCACATATTTCTTGAAGTGCAGGGCCCAAAACCAGCCATAACAATCTAGCTAAGGTTCACCAATGCTGAATAGAGTGGAAGAATTCCTTCTCTCAATTTAAAAGTGATGCGCCTGTTAATACAGCCAAGTATGCTGCTGGCATTTTTTTTTCCTTATTGTTCTGCTGGTAAAATAGCCTAATAACAAGGGAAGTGATTCTTCCCCTCTACTCGGCAGTGATGAGGCCACATCTGGAGTACTGGGTCCAGTTTTGGGCCCCCCACTACAGATAGGATGTGGACAAATTGCGGAGTCCAGCACAGGGCAATGAAAATGGTTCAGGGGCTGGGGCACATGACTTCTGAGGAGAGGTGGAGGGAACTGGGCTTATTTAGTTTGCAGAAGAAAAGACTGAGAGGGATTTAATAGCAGCCTTCAACTACCTGAAGTGGGGTTCGAAAGAGAATGGAGCCGGACTGTTCTCAGTGGTGGCAGATGACAGAACAAGGAGTAATGGTCAAGTTGCAGCAAGGGAAGTTTTCCGTTAGATATTAGGAAAACCTCCCACACCAGGGGGGTAGTGAAGCATTGGAACAGGTTACCGAGAGAGGTGGTTTTTAAGACCTGGCTAGACAAAGCCTTGGCTGGGATGATCTAGTTGGGGATGGTCCTGCCTTGAGCAAGGGGTTGGATTAGATGACCTTCTGAGGTCCTTTCCAACCCTAATTTTCTATGATTCTATGATTTTTGTATTATTATTATTACCAGCAGAGTTACTACATTAGAAGGGTTAAGAGTCTGCAAACTGAAGCAGCTGACAGTGCTAGGGAGGTGGAAAGATTTTCAAGTCAGTCTATTTAAATCATAGCTTTTAGTTGGCTTTAACATCTGCTTAGCATAAATCACTGATTAGAATTACAGAGAAAAGAGGTCTTCAATAAAGATTTAGCACTCGTGCTGTACAGCTGAGGCATTACATTTCACTCCACATGTGCTCCCCTTAGAAATCGTCCAGAACAAATATAGCAAACCTGATATTTGTAAAAAGATTTTAAGAAGTAATTTTTAAAAAAAAATAAGCACTGCAAATTTATGTCCAAACCGTGAACAATAAAGAAATGGCAAAAGCTTCTTTAAAAAAAAAAAAAATGTCTGTTGTAGGAAGCCTTTAAAGATTCAACAAGCCTCAAAATATAAGCAACTCTTATGGAAGCTGCTCATGGGAATTAAACATTCCATGAGCATGGGACGGAGGTTTCCTGTCTGCTCTCCATTAACAGGCATGTGAACACCCATTCATGAGATGCTAAATGAGTGGAGCAGAGGAGTGTAAAGCAATGCATGGAGCATGGGAAGGGAGCACAAGAATCTAAGGGAAACTGTGGCTAAGTAGAAATGTTTAAGGAGGTTCAAGAGAGCAGAGGGGTGAAAAGTGACATTTAACAGGAACATGCTCCTGTGGGACAGTTTAACTTGCCCAAAAGCAGGACAGCAAGTGCAATGGTACAACGGGTCCTAATACCAGCCCACAGCTGAGGTCCCAAGAGAAAGAGCAGAGGCCCTAGGATATGCTGTTTGAAATGAGAAATGCTGAGCAAGGACTGGTGCTTCTGAATCCCAAGCTCCCCACTGTTCATAACTGACCGTTCAAGTGACAAGTTACCAGAGGGACATGTTGCAGGCATACTATACCTTCGAATTTGGCATTCACCATGACATACAAATGCTCCCATGGATATGCAGTGAGGTCCCTGGAGACAGCATGCAAACTTATGGTGGGGTAGTCCAAGGAGAAGCCCAGACCAGAGTTATCAAACCATGACAGGCGACTAAGGGAAAAAAAATAAATAAAAGGCAAGTCAGGAACTCAGGAAAGCCATGACATCTCGCAGACAACACTCAAGTCAGCCACACCTACAGGACAGATGTGTGAACAGCATTCACCCAGTCACTGCTAAGCCAAGGCTCCATCTCTGTGCTAACAGGACTTTCTACCCAAAGCTAAACATGACCAAAGCCACTTTTTCCTCCAGGAGAAGTTTCAGCTCAATGTGCAGATCACTTCTTGACCTAAACACACACAACTCTTGGGTGCTGTTGATAAATTCCAGGCCAGACATAGCTACAGTGATCCTGCTTCCCCAGTTCTGCAACTGCTTTCCTACTTCTGCCCAGTGAGCTCTTTTCCCTGCACTTCTCCAAGCAGGCAGCTCTGTACTTGGATTCAGCAGCACCTGGTTCTCCCACAACACAGATCTCTGATAATGCAACTGATGCGTACGCTGCCTCCTTCTATCCATGGCCTGTAAACAGCCCTGGAAAAAGCCTTGCAGTACATTAGAACAGAGCGGGGAGGAAGCAGTGAGAACAACTTGTACAAGCCGCAGACAAAAGTCTATTGAAAGAAAAAGACAGGCCACAACTGGACCCTGTGTGGGTTGACAGCACTCGCTGTTTGAGCCGCAGCTCCATCCCACCAACAGAGTGGCAATTGCAATGCTAAGCAGGAACCCAGCACAACAAGAGGTCGCTCCACAACAAACCTCATCCTATCTCTCCTTCGCTGAGGACCCCAGGACTGGCCGGCTTCTCAGCCAGCAACATCACCAACATTTTTCCTGCTGCCAAGAGCTCTTTGCTGGCAAAGGAACGATGCCGCACAGGGCCACATGACGTACAGGAGGCCCAAACCCGAGCCTCCTGCAGCTGCCTAACAGCAGTATTACCAACTACCACAAAACCATCCCAAGACTTGGGATTTCAAAGTCAAAATAACTGACTTGCAATCTCCGGATCCAACCCTCAGATCTCTGGATTTTCCCAGCTGGTAGGTGGAGGAAAAGGAGAAGATGGAGGCCCCCATGGTGAGGGAGTGGGGCAGGGGTGAATGGGGCCCCAGGGCCAGGGCGCGTTGTCCTGAGGTACAGGGTGAGGCACAAGCAGGCAGCCCCCTGTGGGCTGGGGCTTTGTGCCCTGCTGCCTTTGCCCCACAGTCCCAGTGAGCCTCCTGCTGCTGGACGGGCAGGGATTGTGCTGCATGGCCAGCATGCCCCACATCCCCTGCCCGTGCAGTGGGTGGCAACAGCATCACACAGCTGAGCTCTGGGGCAAGGGAGATGGGTGCAGAACCCCACCCCCAACACCTTCACAAATAACTCCCCCCCACACACACACACACGCTTCAAAAAATTGCGTCTCATGATTTGGGGCAAGGCAGGGCTGACAACACTGTAGCAGCACCGACGTCGCTCATCTGAGCCGCTCAAGGGGCAGGTGGGGCAACTCCCACGGGTCTAAGACCCCGCTCCCCTATTTATAGACCACCTCCCCCCTTGATTCTTGGTCCACCCGAGGTTTGGGAGTAACGGCAGGCACAGCCCGTCCGGGCTGAGGGACTCAACTGACTTCGGGACTCGGGATCGTCTCCCTGAGGCCTTCTCACCACCCCCCACCCCCCCGGGCTGGAGGTGGGCCTGGGCAGCCCCGCGGAGCCCCCGGCCCAGCCGCACCTCTCGGCGATGTAGAGGGTGCCGGAGCCCAGGGCGCGGCCGCCCAGCACGGCCTCGGTGTGGGGCTGCTGGTGCCGGACGCCCTCGGCTGGCGGCGGGAACCGCTTCAGGAAGCTCATGGCCGTCCCGTCGTGCCCAGTCCCGCCGCTGCCGGAAACGGAACCCGCCCGGGCCGGAGGCGGAACCGCCGCTCCTCCCCGCCCTCCACCATAGAGAAGGAAGGCGGCGCGCTGGCCCCCGGAGCCGCCATTCTATGGTCAGGCTGGGAAGGGGGAATGTTGAAGCCCCCGCTCCATTTGCAGGCCTGTCACGTGACGCCGTCGCCAACGCTAAGTCTAAGCCCCCTTTGCCGGCCAATGAAACCTGTCCCTCCCGTCACGTGCCGCGCGCGGAGGGTTAGTCACTGCAGTGCAGGCCCCACCCCCCCCAGGGGGCAGTGGCCGTCCACCCCACACCCAACCCCAGTGGATGACAGCTGACAGTATCCATAGCAACACCCCCTCCATCCCCAGTGGATGACATTATCCATGGCAACAGCCCCATCAAGCCCAGTGGGTGACAGTTGGCAGTATCCATGGCAACAGCCCCTCCAACCCCAGTGGTGGCGCTATCCATGGCAACAGTCCCTGGTGCCAGGCAGGACCTGTGGGTGCTGCTTGCCCCTGCTCCGCTGTGTGTGCCTGGGCTGGCCGGCCCCTCGCGCACAGGCTCCTCGAGGGCAGCAGGGTAGAGCATGCCCGGGCCAAGCCCCCTTCTGGGCGGCCACGGCCCCAGGCAGAGCAGCCCCGCAGCGTCGCCTCACCAGGACCACAACGCACTACTGGTCAAGCCAAGGGCCAGAAAGCCTGAGGTTCTGGATGGCAGCGAAGCGGGAGCCGATGCAGCTGTACTCACCGGGCAGGAGGAAACTCAGTGGGAACCATGCCAGGCCTCTGCCAACGGAGCGTGCCCCAGTCTGCGCCCCGCGCTGGCGCTCTGCCCATCACTATGCAGCGGCAGTGGCCAGGCCTGTCTGCCACAGCCCATCTGCCTTAGCTGGCGCTGGCAGGACTGGCATTTGCAGCCGTCTCCCCACCCACTAGCACCCATCCTCTTCCTCGCGTCTGTGGCTCTTTGCTCTCCGCTTTCCCATCTGGGGCCTTGTTTCTTCTTCACAGGCTTCGCGTTGCTCCCGACTTCTCCGCTGCGACTGGTTGGGAGCGCTCATCGTGCCACCCACCAGACAGCTGACAGACCTGCCGCAGGGAGGAGCGCCCATCTCTGGTGTTTGGCTACGTCTCCTCTCTGAAGGAAATGATGCTGGAGGAGGTGACAGCCTTGTGGATACAGGAGAGGGAAGGGGAGCAGGCCCTGCCACCCCCTCTCCGCTACAGAGTGACTGACACTCCTGGATTTTGCTACGCCAGTGCCCGCTTTTCCCCTCCCAAATATTCAGCTATATCCCAGTGAGACTAGTGACTCCCTCAAGCAGGATGGATAGCCTGGCTTCGAAAACTTGCTCCTGGATCAGCACCTGGCAGCATCTGACTAGGGTCTGTTCACAAACTTGTCAATTGGACCAGCCCTTACGTTGAGTAGCCGTGGTCCATTTCAGGGCTGCTAACAGCTGTCTGTGGATCATCCAGGGCTGTCTCAGATGTCACTGCCTAAAAGGTGACTGCTGTATCCCCACAGTTTGCAAGGATGGAGGATGCAGATGTGGGGACTCTAGCAATCTCTATCGCTTCTGGTTCCTTTACTCTGCCCTTCCTCTCCAATCAGACACAAATAGAAAACAAAGGAATTACAATATTGTGGTCCATAGCTGAAGTGCACGGGCTGGACGAAAACACATGCCTCATTCAACAGCTATAGAGACAACTGTCCTAGGCATTGTCACTCTTTGGCATATCTGTTCAACTCTTTAAATCATCACACTGCATCCAGGAAGAGCACGCGCCAACTGCAGATGCTTCCTCAGCCTGACGAAAGGCATTTGTACCCGAAAGCTTGCAAAGATTTTTTTTCCAGCTATTTGAGTTGGTCTAATAAAAGATATCAGATTTACGCAAAGAACCTTGTCTCTCCGTTAAAAGAGGAGGCAGTTCACTTGAAAAAATCCATTTCCTTGTGAGCTGTGTTTGGCAGAGTCTTGTGCAAACCGCTGCAGCCTAAGGTCCCAATACTCATCCCATCTGTTTCAAGAGACTGTGTCTTCAGCAGTTTTGCTTTCTTAAAATGTTCATCATCTAGAAAACAAAAGCGAATAGAAGCATTAAGGTGATCACCAGGTTCAGATGAGAGAACTCATTAGACTCAACTCACCTTCCTGACAGTGCTGAGAGTTTAATGGGCTGTAGCCCTCACTATGAAAGGCAGCAAAGATAAGCATAAAAACATGACAGCTATCCAGTAACCATCACCCAATCCACTACACTGGATTTTGCCTGCACGGGCAGAATTCCACGTTGAGCTAAAGGGAGAAAAAGCAGAGTCACAAATAATGATCGCTAATTCTTTGCTTGACTTTCTCTCTGATGAGGATGTGGTGGCCTCACAAGAAAGGGGTCCGAAGGCCTGGGACCAGATTCTACTGCAGACGTAACTACAACACAAGTTACTGCCAGTTAAGATCAGTCAGTTGCTGGCAGTCTCAAGACAGATATCTAATGTTGCAAGGGTGGGAACATTAGCCTACCATCCTAGATCTTGGTTCTGTGCATATCCTTGGTCTAACCGCACTTCTTTAGCTGCAAGTGTCTATTGTAGATGTGCTGCATTGGTGGAGAAGGAGGCTTTGCATTTAAACGCCAACACAGCAATCCATAACATCCAGGAAGCTACATCAGTGCAGATTTCTCTTGCTGAGACAAGTTCCTTGAGGTGACCGTTTTACACTGCCGGAGAACAGGAGTAATGCAGCATGCTCCTATGAGACAGCTATGCTAAGAGATGGGTATTTTAAAAGGACCAGGATGGATACAACTGCACCTCTAATGTCTCCTACCTTGATACGTCTGTCTTTTTTCCCTTATACTCCTGGTTAGCAATGGGTTAAGCCATTTTTCTTTGAGGAAAAGGAGCCAGTTGAGGAAGTTAATTCCCCACATACAATGGGAGGGAGGCAGTTGGAACCACCAGGTCATACTTTAGACTTTTTGAAGTTAATAAGGTCAATGCCGCCTTGTTCCAATTAAAAGTCTGTCCTGCATACAAAGCAACTCCATGCTTTCAGGTTTAACTTAGAAACAAATCTTCCCCTGTTATAGCTTGATAACTGATACAATCTTTGAACTGTTTTAGCCCTCACAAAACCCACAGAAGATTCAAGTAACCACAAAGGGGATTACATTCGCTAGAAGTGCTAAAATAAAATCTGTGCTGATAAATGTTTTAATTGGGTATTTGCATTGAACCCAGCAAAGACAAGAATTGAGGCTGCTCTGGGGCCCAACTGTAGGTTTCTCCTCTGTTATAAGGCCATGCAACTTTTATGGTTTTTTAGGAAGGAAAAAAGTGGATTCATAAATCAGAGCCACAGGGTTCTTCTTCCGTTGCCCATTTCTGGCTTCAATTATTCAAATCATTGCTCAGGCAAATAATTCCCTAGGTGGCAGGTGCTGGGGACTGTCACTGGGCAGTGGTACTTCAGTATGGCTGGGCACAGCTCACATGAATGAAAGTTTACAGGATCGTGCTGATACAGGACAAGAGGGAGCAGAGGACTGGCTCTATACTCAGGCTTGCTTCTCTCCAGTCATGCCAAGCTAATACCAAGTGTTTGCCCAGCAAACTTAAATTGTGCTTTCCACTTATTACGATGACCCACAGTGGACTGGGCAAGATCAAGCATGAGCACACCACAAATATGATCACTCACCGTGGATCGCAAGCTGGAGGGAACGACAACACTGTTTTATAGTCTGACCTGCCTCTCGTCTCAATATCCAGACAGCCCTTCCCACTGTCTCTGCAATTATTGAGGAAAACTGCAACACAGTCCATCAAACTTTTAGAAAAAGGGAAGGTTTTTATTAAGGAACAGCCCACAATGGATTATTATGCAGTACAGCAAGTTGTATTACCTTAAAGTGCATGCTCCTTAGGGACTGAGGTATTTATTTTTGTTGTGCCATAGATTTTTGTGCAGAGCTTGCATGTGCTTTGCAAAAGGCAGCATAGTGGAAAGTTAGTTGGGGACTGAGAGGATGAGTTATGCGTCTGGTATTGACAGTGAAGACTTTTGGCGCTAGAGAAGGGAGAAAATCCCCAGCTTCTTTTTCCCTTTAAAAACCAGATGCCCCACTCCCCAGTATCAAATACTGGATTTTACAAGGCCAGGTAAGGCATTACACTTTTCCTTCTAAATGAAGCAGAGAAATAGACAATGTTGATGATGCAGTTGACCACCATTAGGTTTCAGAGTCATCCCATAATGAGGAGAAATTAGAAGTTTACACATCTCAAAACAGTCACTTCAAGCTGCCTGGACATTCAGTAATTACACATAATGCAGTAGTTGTCAGTGATCAGACTTGGAAGTTTTTCTTCAGTCGTAAAAGCTAGAAACAGATAATCAGGTTCCTTGTTTTAAATGCAAGCTTAGATTCTGCAGTGAGGGAATGGACTCCACAGAAATGTCTTAGCATCAAAGAATAACCCAGCACCTGGACTAAAAAAAATACCCAAGTTGGAAAGAAATCAGGTTCTGAATGACTTCCAGGGTGAGCACTGAGAGCAGTCACCCTCCAAATCCAGCCCCCACCTCCTTCCATGGCTTGAGCAGTTTCCTGGTTGGCCACTACATTTCTTCCCTTGAAGGTTTTTAATGCCTTTTGTCATAAGCACACAGCAGAGCAGGTATCACACAGCCAGGCTGTGCACACATTTCTGTTTAGACTCATCTACTGGGCTGTCTTAAGTTCTGAGGTTGAATTACACCTATGAATTTATGCTGGTGTAAGACAAGGCCTTTCCAGTTGCTGCCAACATGGATCACAGCTATGTAGCCGTAGCTTACAAGTAATAACACACCCAGCAAGACTCTTCTTAGGACAAGACTCAGAGGTTTGCACAGAATCACAGCAAATGAGGGTTGGCAGGGAGCTCAGGAGGTCACAGCTAGTTCAACCCCCTGCTCAAGGCAGGACCAGCCCCAACTAGATCATCCCAGCCAAGGCTGTGTCTAGCC